ACACAAACAATGATCCTCTTTTAATAATTATATCTTTTAATATAATTTATTACCTATGTAGGTGATATAAGAAGGGCTAAAACTACTTAAGAAAAGTTTAAATTAAATATTTCATATTTTATGTATTTTTGTGTTTGTGTTGATGTGTGTGAGTTTATTTTCTCTTCTGCTTAACTGAGATTCAATTTCTTAGTTATGGCTTCCGTCTAGTATTCGTTCAGAACAACGGAGTAGACAATGCCACTTTCGATAACAATGTGTGCTACTAGTGTATTACTCTACGGTTTTCTTTGCCTAAGTATATATTATTAGTTTCACTGAAGCCAAATATTCGTTTCTCACTTAATAATTTTATTTAAAAATAATATATATGTGTGTACGTGTATGTATTCAATCGGAAAAAAAGTTTAATATCTTTTTAACACCAATATATTTTTTTGTTCATTTTGTGAGAAAATTTTTCCCTTTCCGTGAGCATAGACCTTGTAAGATGTGCAAAATTCCCGCAATGTTCACAAAAGTTGAAATTTATAAGAAATTATTATGGGAATGAACTGTACTCCTATATAATTATACTAATATTATACTGTACTTATGACAACACATTCAAGGCATCCATCGTCTGTTCTGATAATTTTCTACTAAAAAATTAGGTTATCATAGACGAAGAACATTCTCCTCCCACACCATTTTCGGGACCGGTATAGTCTTTTCAAAGTTTATATCCTTTTAATGCTTTGCACCGTAATTTCCTTATTAAAACATGAAAAACAGTAAAAAACATTGCTCTCAAAATATCCATCTTTTCAAAAATTTAAACTAAAAATTTAAATTAAATTTTCTGAATAGAGTAAAAGGTTTTTATATGAGTATGGGAAACATATAATGCAAGAAAATCTGCAGCTTTAGTTGAAACATTGGAACACTAAAACACTTTAAGTTGTTTTTCTTATTTCCTTTAAAAATTAGGGTAAAGCATATAAATTTGTTAAATAGAATAATGGAATGTTAGTGTCATGAGGAGCGTGTTCTGTTTTTTACGCAAATTGATTGCATTTAATTTTCCTAAAAAAGAAGTTTAAAAACTTTTATCCTCTGCTGGCTTATTTATTATTAAATAAAATCGCATACAACATCAACATCGGCTTACATTAAATGCCTTAACAATTTTTTGTTCATAATTATTTTAATCAATGGTCTTGATTATAACTTTGCGTATATATGTAAGAAATTAATGTAATAATTGTCTCTTAACACATCGCAAAAAATCCAAAGCAAAATCAAGTTGACATCAACCGATCATCTTTACTAAAAGAGATCTATCTAATGCGAGCAACGTCCTATGTAACAAATTTTTCTGGACTTTTATGGGCTTAGTTACTTACGAGAGCCACAGAAACTTTGCTGTGTCCATCGTTTCAGACGTTTTCATTAACAATGCGAACGCACACTAGTCTCCTTTGTTATCGGTACTGTTCTTATCATATTATCTCCCTTAATCATCACCGGACACCACGTATATGAAGATATTTTTTGAATGGCTGATCCAATATTTAGACAACAACATGGCTCTATTTCTCTCGATAGCAAACTGAATCAACACGCCTCTGTCGATGGGGGGGGGGGTGATGGTGGACCATACAATGCTATCATCGCAATCTGCCACCACTTCTTTTCTTCCACGTTTCCACAAATTTGCTTATTAGCATAATACCCTAAGAAACGTTGCGGCTACAACCTCGATGTCAATGATGATATGTCAATGATAACAGCACCTCATACTGTCAGTCTCAGCTAACACTTCTGCAATGCAAATGTAAAGGAAGGAAAATCATTTGCGATAGATCCCAGCGACAACTCTGTAACAGTCCCATCGCCGGGATAGCAACTTATTTAACAATTAACATTTTTCGAAACAAGTCTCAGATAGTCTGCATGTTTCCTTGTCACAATGACTTCAATTCGTCTTCTTGATTTAGTGGCATGTGACGAAAATGACTACTTTCCGAGGCAGTAATTTCGACTTTGACGAAATGTTAATTTAAGGACACAAATGTGTTCGGATAAAATGAGATCTGTCTGTTTGTTTACCTGCAATGAGTAAGCACTGTGTCAATTTTATTTTTCTCATATCTTTTTACGAGAACGAAAAAGGTCGCAACCTCTAACACTATACATAGTAATAAGTAGGGAGAGTAAAAGTTTTGCCACAAAGCATCGTCGGACAATCGCATCGAAGAAGATTTTATAAGGCAAACAACTAAAAAACACTTAAGTCGGATCCTGTTCATCATTAAATCTCCAAAGTAATTATTCGTATAACGACTTTCCAAGAGAAGGCGTCATATAGAACGTGGTTGAAAAGATTGTCCCGACGACCCGAGCCATATTCAATAGGTTTTGTCGTTAAAATTGCGCAAAAATTGCAGTCTGTAGATTGAGCACAGAAAAACATGATCGATGGGACAGACAGACGGACAGGCAAACTTAGATGGATTCAGAAAGTGATTCTGCATCGATAGGCGTACTGAAAATCGACTCTTTTTGATTGTTGCACAAATGTACACAAAGTTAATATACCCTTGTACCACAAGCGGTGTAAGATATAATGATTGATGATTCAATAACTGGGATATATTTAGTTTAGGTCCAGATATTGGAAACATGACGTTTCACACCTTATAGACACCACCTGAACTCGCACCAGCTAAAGTAGCTTGCAATGTGTCTTCGACTGTCCTCAGGGTCTCCCTTGCAATGGAAAATGAAGACATTCTTGCAATTTGATTAGAAAAATGAAGTAGTTTTTGCAAATTTTCTCCACATTTGATTCTTTTAGTTTCTTTTGATATCAATGGCATCCTTTCATTGTAACTTGTCTTAGGCTCAAGTAACATGAAAACACTTTTTAAAAGTCTAAAGTCCTTTATTTTTATATGTTTTGTTTTATTTTTTCTTTTTGTTTATTTTTTTTTTTTGCATTTATAATTAAAATTCAGTTAAATGTCAGTGTACATACTATGCACTGTATGAATACAATTCAGAAACTGTGTCCTTCTATTTATTTATTTATATTTTATCTTAAGTGTGTGATCCTTTTGTCAAAGCTTCGTACATGATGTACATGATGCATATATATATATATATATATATATATGGGTAGATGTAATATGTGTATGGGTGTATTGCTTTGTAATTTGTTTATTTCAGTCTATACTATTGTGCCTTTATATCTCTAATATAAAAAGTTGAAAATACATAGACATTTCATTAATTTTAATGAGGAAAACATATAAACTCAGAAAATAAATAGTTTGTCTACATACGGTTACATAAAAAGAAATGAAAAAAAAAAAAAAAAAAAAAACTACACATTCGTCAAATTTTGAATAATCACTAGCTAGACTATATAATACATCAGGCGTATTATTTGTTAAATCATTTTGTATGCCTGTAGATAAACCTCGGCCTCACCACTGTACACAGTCGCCGCGAAGGACACATGCAACCGAAATTTTTATCCCTTTTTCTATCTATGCCACTGCAAGAGCACTTTAAATGCATACGTGTTACATATAAAATGATGCGTTCATTAGCGAATTTTATTTATTTTTATTTATATAAAAAAGTTTTAGACAGTTCGCTTCATCCCGTCTCCTCTTGTCACCGATGTGAACCACATCAGAAAAATGCACGAAACACGATCATGACCACCAAAATACATCAATACAGTAACTATGACCCTAAACCCATACGGTAGTAAATATATCATAGTTTAACTATATTTCCGCGCATCTACACATACATGTTTATTGAGTTTACGGACAGCATAATCAATTTATTGCAATCCTTATCACCGAGTGATTATGAAAGAACGCTACGAAAAGACATACGATGTTGTGAGTTCTTAACAAAGAACCGACGAGTTATGTAGAAAAGAGGAATAAGTGTTTTCTGCGAATCGTCATAGCAATATTTGACATCGCTTTATCATATGATCACTTTTCTTGCTCTTGTCAATAAATAAGGAATATACTTAACTCTGCTGATAGCGTGGAGCACTGTGAAGAACGATCATATTTATGGACGGTATCGCAAGATAATTAGATCGTACATCACATATGCATTGTTCGGATGTATGCAGCAACCATACTTGCGGGGCTTGCGATAAGGCCGCCTTTTTATTATGCCGATCGGTTCAAAATCACTTTCTGAATCGATCTAAATTTGACTGTCTGCTTGTGCATGTTGTTCTCTTATGTTCACCCCATAGGCCGCAATTTTTGTGACATTCTGATGCAATTTGATACGTGGATGTGCTTTGGCCCAATGAACAATGCTTCGGATCCGACCACTTTTTCGACCAACGTCTTATTTTGTACAATCATTATATTAATAATTGTAGAGTGCTGTAGGGTATTCAATGATAGACTATGATTCACTATAGTGTTTGTGTTTAATTTTATTTTAGATTATGGATTACTTCGACTCTTGCATACTTGGACATAGAAGAGTTAATCTGATGAGGTCTATAAGGCTTGACCGTATATATAACACTCAAATTGAAATTAAGTTTGAAATAAAATTTTATCGTATTAGGCAAATTAAAAAAAAAAAACCAATGCATTTAATTGCAAGTAATTGAAATAAGTTTGTATTCACATTTTCGCATGTTCCTTAGTTCAGTTTATAAGTCCTGGTATAGAAGCCCTCAAATAAGATTCAACGACCTAAACAAGTATTTTTTTGAAAAAAAAAAAAAAAAAAATTTTTTTGTTTTAATTGAAAAAAAAAAAATGTGTTTATTCGTTAACGAAAGTATGTTTAAAAGTGGTGTATGTGCCGCTAGAGGGTAGCGTGATACCCTGCAAAGAAACAAGAAGCAATATTTGTTTGACTTGTAACTCAGAACTTAGTACCGTCAAGCTTACTACTTACATTGCTTAGATTTGCGTAATGTGCGTTCATAATAAATTTTATTTATCTTTTCTTTTTTGCAGATTCGTGGTATGCACTTATATTGGAGGTAAGTTGCTATTGACAACTTTCTTATTGGGCATTGCATTTTGAATGCATTGATCAATTGAACGAATGATATATTTGTTAATCGTCAGACCAATTAATAGCATTTTTATGATCAAAGCAAAGCATTGCGTACGCATTGGTATGCATCACTAAAAATCGATTTTTATATAATTTATTCACTTTGAAGCACTTAGGCTTTCTGGCCTTTGATAAACTCCGCAAGTAAGGAAAATCTAAATGAAATTTAACCAATACTTCAGATATAATGCTAAGCAAATACAAACGAAACTCTACCAATGACTTTAACCAAAGTTATTTCGAATTTATTGTCCTAAATATTGATCAAAGACTTATTACTATTCCGTATCAGGACATTTCAAAAGCTAAGAGTTCTCAAAAATTCCACTTAATGTGCATAAACAGACACACATGCACAGATACATTTCCATACAATATTTATTTATGCATAAACATAATTCGCTTGCCATTTAAAAATTGTACACTTAAAAATCCAAGTACCACTACATGTTTCACACAAAAAAATGCTATTAATACATAAAACAAATATCGAGTGCTCGTTAATAATAGTAATAATATGTAAGGACAAAATTGAAGGCAAACAAAAAAAAAAAAAAAAATTGACTAAATGACGAATAAACGAATGAATGAATGAATGAATGAATGAAAGAAGTAAAGCAAAAAAAAAAAAAAAAAATCATGAACTTCCCTTCGATTTTCAAATAATAGCAAAAATAACACAAATAAAATGTTTCTGTAAGTGTATGTGCGACCACGATTACGTAGTTTAGTGCAAGGATATATATAACAAGTTAATGGTAAAAAAAAAAAAAAAAAAAAACAACAACATTTTTGTGGCTTCCTGGCTAAAGAGAAATAAAGAAAAAATTGTTAGTGACAATATTGGAACAAAAGTTGCAAAAAACGCAAACATTTTTATATCTACCGACTGCACTTTAAATAGGGGCTGACAAACCGGGATAGCATGATAAAGAGATGTAACGAGAAACGATTGCAAAGGTTGACAGAGAGACAGTGAGAAACAGACAGAGAAGGAAAGAAAGAAATAAATAGGAAGTGAGAAAGAGACAGAAAATAAATTTAGTTTACTCAGCTAGGCTCTGACGAAAATATATATATATATATATATATATATATATATATATATATATATGTATATATGTATAAATTCTTTCATATATTTATGTATGAATATAGAAACACAGATACGTATGCGTACGCGATTAGTTTAGAGCCACAAATGATACTACATGAATATCTATTCATTTATATATGTATGCATGTGTAACCGGATGTCAATAAAATGTTTAACACAATGCATTTGAAATGTGGTAAAAAAAAAAAGAAAAAAAAGAAGAGAATAAAGGATAACTAAAAATATTGATTTGTGTCACACACAATATATAAACACCTACACAGTATTTATTACATTGAATGATTTGACAAGTCTTGCTATATACTTCCCTTTTTTTTCTTTTTGATTTTTTTCTAAAGTCTGCTAATTTTTAAATAGGATTTTGACTAATATTTTTACTCTCTGCTAATGGTTTCTATTAACTTGTACTACGTAATCATTTTAAAGAATAAATTAATTGTAGTCAAAATCATAGTGTTTATTAAAAAAAAAAAAAAAAAAAAAAAAAA